GGTTTACGGTTTACGGTTTAGGGTTTGGGGTTTACGGTTCGGGGTTTCAAGTCTAGGTTTTCTAAAAAAGTTAGGTTTGGTACAGACGCAGAACTCGCTGAGCCAGATCGTACTGTGAGGTTCTTTATAATACTCGCCTCGGCCCCGGCCGAAGCGGTCAGAGGTTCCTATTCGGATTCCCTCTGTTCCCCACCTCTTAATCCCTTCTCTGTGTGAACCCATAAATTTAGGCTTTAGGGTGTGGACTTTTTGTGGGGTTTTAGGGTTCGGGGCTGTGGTAAGAAGGGTTTGAGGCGTCCGTGTGGAGGTCTTGCGGCGTAGAGGCCAAAGTGCGCAGCTCCGAAAGTCCTAAGAACCCGTGTAGACCCCTCGTAGACTCATAGAACCCTTGTAAACCCAGCCGCAGCCCCGAAAAAGGCCAACAACCCCCCAGGAGGCCGCTCCAAAGACCTCTACACAAGTCTTATGCAGCCCTTCGAAAAACTTGTCAAGCCCCTAAGAAAACCGTATAAAATCTCAAGGGGGGGGGGCCTTAAAAACTAGGATGAGGAACTGGGATATCTTATACTGTAACTACAGTAAGAGAGCCCTGAGGAATCATATGACCTTTGTATTGAGCCCTAAACCCTAAACCCTAAATCCCCTATTTGACCCTTGCGCTTGCACCTGCTCGGGATCGCCAGCACGATCCAGGTCCAGGGCGACGCGCTCGATTTCCGAAGCCTCGCCACGCGTCCCCAGAACGGGCCTTATTAATTAGAACAGGATTTTGGGGTGCTCCTTATTATAATTATAGCATATTCTACCCCAAACCCTAGTCTAATTATTAAGGCTCCTAATAGCTGGGGCCTAGGGTTTGGGGTTTTGGGTTTTAGGGCTTCTAGGGGGACGGGTTCAGGGCTTGAGGATGTAGGCTTTCGTGAGTTCAGGTGGCATGCTGGAAGCACCGGCGGTCAGCACATGAACGCGGGCGCTTCGTGTGGACGGTTTTTTGCGGTATTCAAGCTGTTCTCCTAGTACAAACGCTAGTAACTAGCATCGACGAACTGGCGACTAGCAGTACTAGCTTGGCGGTGTGGCAACTACACTTCTTATTCCCAGCTGCGGGTCATAGCACCAATACAGCGAGTGAGCAGTGGGCTTTACATTCCCCAAACCCCACATTCTGGATCCACCGAAACCTTAAACCCTAAACCCTAAACCCTAAACCCTAAACCCTAAACCCCTTAAACCCCTCAAGCATTGTCCATAAAGCCACTGCCTCGGCCGCAAGTTCTGCAAAGACCGCGGTAAGAATCCTCTCATCCTGGTTTAGGGTTTAGGGTTTAGGGTTTAGGGTTTAGGGTTTAGGGTTTAGGGTTTAGGGTTTTGAAAGAGGTTTAGGGTTTAGCCCGTTAGCGCGACTACCAATACTATTTTGGGGGGTTCCTTATTACAACTATAGTATAATGGCCCCCAAAACCCTATTCTAATTATTAAGGCCCCTAAGCCCTAAACCCTTATAGTAGCCCTTATGACAACCCTGCAGCCCCCCTCCAACCCCAGAACCCGCCGAAAAAACCCTAAACCCTAAACCCTAAACTTCTAAACCCGAAACCCTAAACTCTAAACTTCTGAACCCGAAACCCTAAACCCTAAACCCTAAACTCTAAACCCGAAACCCTAAACCCTAAACGCTAAACCCTTAAATCCTTGAAGGCAAAACCCGCAACTTGGAAGCTCCGGAGCCGGATCCCAAGGTTTAAGCTCCATCCCTTTTAAGTAGGTAGTATTATTAGGGGTACCCCGTAACGGGTACCCCTTCTGAACCCTACTTTGGGCTCTTAAACGGGACCTTATTGAGAGGGTCTATATTCCCAAGGGCCCCGCTGATCCTAGCTCCCTTTTAAGGGCACTGCAGGGGTACTACGAGGGTCCTAGAAGCGGCACCTACATAGGTACCCTAAACCCTAAACCCTAAACCCTAAACCCCTAAACCCTAAACCCTGAATCACCAGGGCCCTTCTAAGGGTTTAGGGTTTAGGAGCCTTAATAATTGGAATAGGGTTTTGGGGCCCATTATACTATAAATATAATAAGGACCCCCCCCCCCCCCAAAAAAAAAA